GGGACTACTGTATTGCAGCTGCACTAGTAAATGAAGTTGCCCAGGGATTGCTGTCTGCCCTGAGGCCAGCTCACGGCTTGTGTTGACACAGTTAATTGCTTTTACCCCCAAAACATGCTGATTGCATCTATACTGGCTCAAACTATCCCCTCAGCTGTGGTGGGACATTTCTGGGAGAGAGCTAGTTAGCCCAGGCCAAACTATTGCCAAGGACCATTCTAACAGTTTAACTCTACTGACAATCATCTGCCTGTGATCAAGTTTGCCCTGGCCCCGTTTCACATACTGCAATTAGGTGGCTCAGGAGACCATACTGAAGTCCTTGCTTTTGTTTTTCTATGCCAAAGGAGTTTCACATGCCATTAGCTATTTTGAGAAGGGATTCTCTTTCCCTTGTTTTGATGAGAAATTCCAGCCTCAGCTTGCAAAACTCTCCTGACAAATATTTAATGGAAACACATGAACTGCTGTAAAAAGTTCAGATGAATCTGCATTTTTCTTCAAAAATCATGCTGTTGACAAATTCCACCACTGCAATGATTGATTTAAGACATGCCTTCATTGAAGCATGCATGTGTACTTCAGACCTTGAATGCATCTGGCTGGGTTTTCCAAGGCCATGGTTGCTAATGCAGTTCACTCTATAGCAATTACACTGTGGTTTTATCTACGTAAGAGCTGGATTAAACAATCTAGCAGATATCAAAGTGTATAACTATTCCTTTTTTTCCTCTGTTTTTTTCCTCATTATCTTCCTGACTGTAGTGGCTTCACTCAGTTCTAACACAGTTGATAGATACAGTGTGTTTGGAGACTATTAGTGCACATATGTTTTGTCCTACATTAATTCCTAAGAAATGTACCTCCTTAAGAATTCATCAATGCAAGAACCAAGTATTGAATAATGATAGAAAAATAAACAAAGGGATTTGACTGGATTGAAAGTTCTTTTGCATTTCATTAAGTTTGATCTAGATATTCTTATTTTGTCACTCTGCGTGTCTCTGCACATTTTTTCCTTTTCCCTACTTGTTTATTAAACAAGTCATTACTTTGGTAAAGAGAAGCATATCCTTTTAATTCCAAAGCACTTCAGAACCTGCTTTCACACTGTGGAAAAAAAGAATATGGAAATCTTGAATATGTTTGAAGTGGTTTTAAAATTCTTCTATTTTTTATAAGACAAGTTATGTTTATCAGTAGCTTTAACTTTAGGGAATCTACAAAGGGACTGGTTTGTCAGCAGAAGACTTATAAGTCTCCCTAACAGTATCAAAGACACTAGGGCTTTCTCAATGGTAGGATGCTAGAGTTGCATACTAAAGATAGCAGACACATGCTTCATGGAAGTAGCACTACCGAAATATAAACAAGGCCCCTTCATCCAGACATTTTTGGTTATGTTTACAGATTAAATCTCAGGATGTGTATATTAGATGTTCTTGTTTCAGGATATTAATGGCAAAATGAACCTGTTTTTGATGTTTAAGTCACATTAATGTCTGATGGACTGTTAAAATGTTAAAGGGTACAGCAGACATGCTGTAGTATGTGACATATGTTAGTCATACCATACTAGCTAGGAATTTGGATTTGTTTATAATGAACATAAATTTACCGAATTTAACCCCCCTTTGCCTCCCCAAACAGTTAAATCACATGAGGTTCCATTTCCTCTGAGAGACAGTCTTGAAAAATTAGTTGAAACTTGAACAGCAGTTGTATTCAGATTTCAACAGTAGTACGTAAATGTAACCTGCTTAGCAATATGAATTTATATGACCTGTGGACAAATAATTGGATATCAGAAGAAAATTCAGAGGTAGCTCCATGCTCTTCAAGCAGTTTCGTGTAACAATCATCTTAACTTCAAGTCACCTTCAGAATAATTTCAATCATTATAATAAATAATTTTAATTCTGGACACATTTGTGCTCAAGGTCATTTAATTCACTCTCTTTTTATAACAATGCTGAGAGTGAACACAGTCATTCTCACAAAGAAAAAACGAACTCCAGCAAAGACAGGCATACATTAGAAACGTGTGCATGTCTACGGGGATATGATGTAATAGATAACACAGAAACATGGTGGGATGCCTTCTGTGACTGGAGTGTTCGAATGGAAGGTTACAGGCTCTTTAGAAAAGACAGGCCCAGCAGACAGGGAGGGGGAGTTGCTGTTTATGTTAGGGATAGGCTGGAGAGTACGGAACTCTGTCTGGGGGCAGGTGAGCAGTCGACGGGTCCAGAAGGAGCTGGCAAATGAAGTTGCTAAGCCACTGGCCATCATATTTGAAAAATCATGGCAGTCAGGTGAAGTTCCCGATGACTGGAAAAAGGGAAATATAACCCCCATTTTCAAGAAAGGGAAAATGGATGACCTGGGTAATTACAGACCAGTCAGTCTCACCTCTGTGCCAGGCAAAATCTTGGAGCAGATTCTCCTGGAAGGCATGCTAAGGCACATGAAAATCAACAAGGTGCTTGGTGACAGCCAGCATGGCTTCACTAAGGGGAAATCCTGCCTGACCAATTTGGTGGCCTTCTGTAATGGGGCTATGAAACTGATGGACAGGGGGAGAGCAGTTGACTCCATCCACCTGGATTTGTGCAAAGCGTTCGACACTGTCCCACACAACATCCTTGTCTCTAAATTGGAGAGACATCAATTTGATGGATGGACCACCCGGTGGATAAAGAACTGGCTGGATGGCCGCACACAAAGGGTTGTGGTCAATGGCTCAATGTCCGGCTGGAGACCAGTAATGAGTGGTGTCCCTCAGGGATTGGTGTTGGTAGGGGTCCTGTTCAACATCTTCATCGCTGACATGGACAGTGGGATTGAGTGCACCCTCAGCAAGCTTGCTGATGACACCCAGCTGTGTCGTTCAGTTGATACCCTGGAGGGAAGGAATGCCATCCAGAGGGACCTCAATAGGCTTGTGAGGTGGGCTGATGCCAGCCTTATGAAGTTTAACCATGCCAAGTGCAAGGTCCTACACCTGGGTCTGAGCAGTCCCAGGCACAGCTACAGGTTGGGCAGAGATTCAGAGCAGCCCTGCGGAGAAGGACTTGGGGGTGCTCTTCCATAAGAAAATGAACATGAGCTGGCTTCAGGGTGTGTTTGCAGCCCAGAAAGCCAACTGTATCCTGGGATGCATCAAAAGGAGGGTGACCAGCAGGTCGAAGGAGGTGATCCTGACCCTCTACTCTGCTCTTGTGAGACCTCACCTGGAGTATTGTGTGCAGTTCTGGTGTCCTCAACATAAAAAGGACATGGAACTGTTGGAACAAATCCAGAGAAGGGCCATGAGGATGATCAGGGGACTGGAGCACCTCCCGTATGAAAATAGGTTGAGAAAGTTGGGGCTGTTCAGCGTGGAGAAGAGAAGGCTGCATGGAGACCTCCTAGCAGCCTTCCAGTATCTGAAGGGAGCCTATAAGGATGCTGGGGATGGACTCTTCATTAGGGACTGTAGTGATAGGACAAGGGGTAACGGGTTAAAACTTAACCAGGGGAAGTTTAGACTGGATATAAGGAGGAAGTTCTTTACTGTGAGGGTGGTGAGGCACTGGAATGGGTTGCCCAAGGAAGTTGTGAATGCTCCATCCCTGGAGGTGTTCAAGGCCAGGTTGGACAGAGCCTTGAGTGAGATGGTTTAGTGTGAGATTCCCCTGCCCATGGCAGGGGGGTTGGAACTAGATGATCTTAAGGTCCTTTCCAACCCTAAGTATTCTAGGATTCTATGACTCTATACCAGGTAGGAAGGCCAGATGAAGCAGGCTCACTTAGCTCATTTTTTAGAGTATGCTAATGTATTTCACCAAATATAAGGTTGCCTAATTATTTCTTTATTCTTCCCACCTGTGTTTATTCTATATTTCTTTCATTATACTAGTACTATAAATTCTTTTGGAAAGAGACAGTGGGTTTACTGCTTTCTTCTATGACGGAATTTTAGGACATGACAAGATCATGTCCTTTGAAAGAAAGCTGAAACTTACCTTTTATTAACATTGTTAATTCACATGTGAGTATGTGTGTTGCGGGTGAAGGGAAGAATTACTTGGCTGTTGGGGGTATTTGGTTTTGATGACATGGTAGATTCTGGAGTGGTCTGAGTAAAGTAAAGCTTAAATAGCTGTCAAAAGCAAGGAGCTGCAGATACACTGAGGGCTGCTATAGCAATAAGAGCCTGCTTTACTTTACTCAGCCTGCCAGAGGATGTCACAGGGAGATGCCTGTCCCTCTGCAGAGTCCATCTGTAGTCAGGGTGACATCTCAGCATGTGAGTTAATCACCTGTTTTGACCCACTCCTAGGAGGAAAGAGTAACTGGTGACCTGGAAAGCAGCAAAAAGCAGAGATGTCTAAGTGCTAGGGAACAATTTTAGGCTGAGTTCTAGTCTGCTAGTTAGGAAAGAAGGGAAGACTGGCTGAAAAGTGTGGTTGGCTTTATAACATCACCAACATTCAAACAAAACTCAAAACTGTGCTGAGAAATGCCTTAAAATATCGTCAGCGAATTGAACTTTCAATTCACTTTGGCTTGAAAGTAGGATCTGGGAAAATCAAGCAGCAAAAATGTTTTTCTCTCCACATTCTCTGTCTTCTCTGTAAACACACCCTTTTCTCTCATGCCAGGCAGCACAGCAGAGGTGTCAGAGATAGCGAAGACATCTCTGCTGGCTTTACAGCAACCATCTTCGCAGAGGAAATATTCAGGAGAACCCTCCAGATGGTACCCATCATTCCACTGCTATGAAGTGAGCTATGAAGTAGCACAAAATGGACTCAATGGGCTGAGGGATCTGGCTTCTTATAGCAAATTTGTATTTGAAGACACTGCTACACAGACCAATGCTAATAAATAAACATATCAAACCCCATGCCTTGGAATCTACAGCTATGAAGAAATACTTACTTTCTGGTTTCTTGAAGATGCAATTCACAGAAGCAAATGAGAGTTACCATGAACTTTAACCAGTCGGGCATCTTAATATTATAAACTAACATCTGTATTTTCACAGATTATAATCTTTCATTTTATATCCTCTAAACACTTTAAATTGTGCAAGGTGACATAAAAATTACCACCAATCTCTCCTCGGCTTCACTTGAAGAAAAGTGTTTTGGTACTGGGTAGTCTTGCAGTGGTGGAAATGAATTTTAAGTCCTGGCCCAGAAAGTGTAAAGTCCTCTCTGAGGAACACTGAATCTCTTTTCCTTTCAGCTCTTTAAGAGGTTTACGGCCGACACACTTTTGGTGGAATATCAGCAATAAATCAAACGTATGCAGAAAATAAATTTGCAGAGGATTTTCAAATTTGATCTTAGGCCAGTTAGGCACAACTTCTGAAAATTCTGAAATTATTTGGAAGAGAAAGTTTTAAGAAAAACGTGTTGTATCAACTGAAATGTCTCAGAAACTTTTGATTATGGTTGACTTTTTAATTGTATTGAGAACACAAAATGAAACACATCATAGGAACATTAAACATGAAAAACTATTTTGAAAAGAAATATTAGATACCCAGTTCCAAAATTATAAAACAGGACATTTTGGCAATGTCAGAATATGCTTATCTGCCAAAACGTATTTCAGCAAATCTAATAGGGTTGGGCAAAGCATTTTGGTTTCAGAACAACTGCATTTTTCAATTCTTCATCTTTTTTCTGGCCAGCAAGAATATAGTAATGATTCTAAGAACATGTGATTAATTCACCTGTATCAGCACATTTTTCTACTGCAGAATAAGTAATTCTTAAAATTGATTTCTATTTTGAGAGGCATTGAATGAAGTTTCAATTAAATGCTAATAAGTTCAATTTAAATGTAATTAAAAGAGTCAAGGAATTAGAAAATGAGTTCTTATAATGGTGTAAGAATAAAAGAGACCTAAAAACTGACTCAAACAAGTTCTGGTTTTAATCCTGGCATCAAAAAAATGGGACTGATATTGCCTTATTCTAGTTATTTAGATATTAATTCAAGGCTATCTTTGTCTATAGTTACTGTGGGGAGGGAGGCACTTCCAATGGAAGATTCATCCCAACCAAAACCAGGTGCCTAAGGTAGGTGAGATAACTTTCCCTCTGTAAATTTATGCAGCCCGGGTGAGGTGCCTGAGGAATACTGTCACATTTTGGCTTAGGATTCCAGTTTTTGCAAACTGCTGATAATACTAGAAAAGGGAACAAAAAAAAAAATGGCTCATAATGGCTCACGAGAAAATGAAAACAACACACAGTCAGTGTTTTGGTAGTTCTTGATGTTTCCTAGGACATCACTTATAAAACCTTTGCTCAGATTATGTCCCTCCTTCCTCACCCTGCAATAAAAAAAAAAAAAAGAAAGAAAGAAAATTAAAAGAAAAGAGATTTAAAGCAAACCTGCTCAGAGCAGGTCTCCATCCCTCCACCCAGCAGCAGAGAAGGGAGCACTGCCCTTGCTCTTGGATGCCAGGCTGTGCTGATGAATGCTGAATCAGAGCGACAGCTCAAGCTGATGGGCAATACCTGCCTCATCCTTTTCTCCATAGGTATAATGGGCTCCTAGATAGGTTGCCTTGGCTTTAAAGTAGATGAGAAAAGACTTGAAAACAAAAAACTTCTATTTCTCTTTGTTTTAGGCTTTCAGAGGAATCACAATGAAAAGAACAGCCTCTTAACAGCAAATCTTACAACACAATGTGTTTTGCCCCAAAGGAACATCTTAGCCCTTCATTATCTGTTAAACACAGCCCTTTGACATGCCTAGGACAGGTTTTAAGCATAAATGGTTGTCAAATTGCTCTTACAGTGTTATGGTATGCTGGAGGTCTTATGGGAGTAGAGTGGAAAACTTGCCTTTAACTGAATCTGAGTAGAACTTAGAGAGACTATGTGGATCTCAAATTTGTCTTCAGGGTATACAACAGTTCGTAAGACTGCTACTTTTCTGTGACATAGCTTTTTTGGGGGTAGAGCCAGAATATTAAGCTCATTGCTTCCAGATGGAAAGGTTGGACAAGACAGAAATCCTTGGCATTGGGACCATGGACAGAGTGGTGTGATATGGACATGACATATTGAAGTAATCTAGATAGAAGATACAATGTTAGCCAAGGTTGTCAGTTGGATACTTTTTAAAACATTATATGGTTTGTAACAAGGTATTGTGTATCCTTCAAAACCCTCCAGATTGAAATCCTGGAAAGACTGTGGGGAAAATTGTGATTATTTTGCTTAAGTTACTAGAGTTCATTTTATATATATTAAGAGCTTGGCATCGTTTGCCTGCAAGAAATTTTAGGCCAGCAATTTATATTGTACGAGCAATGTACATCATGCTAGCAGCACTTAAATGAGTCCAGGTGCTCGTTTGTAACTTGGGATCTTGTGTGTTCTTATTCATAGGCTGTACACCGATAATGGTGCAGTGCCTCAAATGAGAATGCGTTTTCATGAGCCACACATCTGTTTACAAGCTATGTTTTTGCATTAAATCCTTACGGCTACACTGAGGGCGTTCCACCAGGGGGCATGTAAAGCCCACAAGATTAATCACTCTCCTACCGTACTTTTCTTCGGATGTTTTGCAAATGAAGATTGCTTAAAGCCCATTTCACAGTCAGAATCCCCATCGTACAAATTTAAAATGTATTTGAGCTAAGCGAGAAGTAGGAAAAAATGGGGACATGTTGCAAAGACTTGAGGAAAACTGTGCACTAGATGCAGGGCTTCGCGTAGTCTTTATTGTTCAGAGGAGTTATATATCCACTGTTGCATGCTGTTCCTATTTGCAAAATGCTTGTTTGTATATATAGGACACTTATGATTTCTCTGATTTCAGAGAACTCTTATCCAAGACTTTTTAGTGGAGCTGGTGTGAACACCAGAGGACAGGATTCAACCTTTTTTGTTGAAGACACAAAGCATAAACTTGTATTTCAGTACCTCAAGAATGAGCACATCAGGCACACCACTGATATTTCTTAGGACATCACTTATAAAACCTCTTCTCAACATATCCCAGACTTGCCTGGGTACAAGAATCAGGCAGAGAAAAACGTTTTGAACAAACCCATAATGTGATTTTTCCTGTCATGTACAGCCCAGTGATGAACAGAGAAGTCTTTGTGACAGATATGTCAGACAGCTAAGTTCCTAAGTTATTTTCCAAGACCACTTTAGAGAGGTATATGGAATTAAGACAACACTTTATCCTACTCTTTCAAATACAGACTCTCACTCCTTTGAATTTAAAGGAAACTTTTCAACTGATGAAAATGGTAACTTAATCACTTTAGGAGGACTGGTTTGTTAAATTCCTAAAGTTCACATTGCATGGGCTCCATTGACTGTATGCAAAATAAAGTAAATGCAAATAGGGAGTTGTTGCTCTGAAGAGAAGCTTTGAACAGATACATGCTAGGACACTCAAGGGAGCTGTGAAAATTCGGGAAAACTCAAGGTATTTTCTGTAAGGCAAATATATCTACCTGTTAATATGTTTCTCTTCGATGTTTGTAGGATTTCATGCTTTTCCATGTATTTCATTCAGTATTTACATTTATTAATGTTCTCTGGATCCACACTCAGTGTTGTGAAAGAATTATTAGGTGAAATTGCAATGAAAAGCTGCTAAAACCTTTCCTACATACACTAACCTTTACAGAACAGGTAGGTCTCAGAAATAGATTCAATAGGTCCCTGAGAAGCACAGAGATGCCATGTCTGCAGGCAGCCTGCTGCGCAACAGCTCAAATAGTGCACAAGGAATTCCAGGGCTCTGGATTAAAATATTAGTCACAGATAATCTCGTTTGTTTTTCAGTCTTTACTACGCTAAGTACTGAGAACATCAGAAAAAAAAAAAAAAAAAGGCAGAAGGGCTCCATTTTTAAAGCAAACATTAATAAACAGACTCATGTAGAGTCACAGGAAGATCAGAGGACCCTGTGGCAGTAAGTAATAGCCATTCCACTTTCAGGAACAATTAGTGCTGAAAGCTTTTTGGGTGGCCTATTTTCTGAAGAGACTGTAAAGCACTTAAAATCTGGGATTCTCTTTTCCCTAATTGGCTCTACTCACATTATCTGAAATCTATACCACCTCTTTCACAGTTACAGAACTGGACAACAACAATTACAAGAAAAAAAAGCGAAAAACTAATGAACTGATTATTTTTATACATCAGGAAATTTGACCTGATAAATACTGTTACATTATTTGGTTATATCTGAATTAAGGCCAATAGCTTGTTCTTAAAGTATAGCTTTACAACAGGGTCTGAACCTTCATTTGAAAATAGGATAAAAGATGAATGTTTCTGTCAATCATGTGGACCCACAGGTTAATCACAGTTCAGCCACTTAAAACTATTCTACACTCTTTTTGAAGAAGAACCTACAGTACAAGACATTATTAGAAGAGTCCACAGACTAGGGAAAATTAACCTATGAACAGACTTAACTATTTAAGTTTGAGAGACAGGAAAGCTCTTCATTCTTTCTGAATCAAATAAATTGAGATTTAGAAATAGAGACTAAAATAGATGTGATTTATCTCTCATAAACAGAAAATAAGACTGCAGTAAGAACTTCTTACTAGGGAGTGCTGAAAGATCCTAGGACATTGTTATCCATCAGGTGAAATTAAAAACATATATATGTCGCATTTATCACCACAGATTTTGAATTTAGAATTATTGAGTGCAAAGTAAACAAACTTGGCAACAGTCTTTATTTTCTTTACTGTATTGTCACCAAAAAAAAAAGAGATAAAAATGGAAGGAAATGCAGAGTTTGGAGATAGTGGAGGACATGTAAGGAGAGGGCTCAGGATGTCAAAACAGAAAGCTTATGATGTACTAGTGGGAGTGCTCAACAGCCTGTGAAGTGCTTCATACGGTAAATAACTCTGAACCCTGTTCACTGCAAAATGGTTCTGCTATGCAAGTTCTGGGCACAAAGCTCTTCAGACTGATAAACCCTTTTCAGAGTTCCCAAAGATTTGGGATGCTGCACTGGGAAGAGTATGCAGCTATGTGCCTGGAAAGAAAACCACAGCAATGGAGTCAATGTACACCACATTTTATGCTTCAGTGAAGCATGAAGCAAAACTGCAGAGATCTGTCCTGAAGGATCACCATTTACCTCCAAACTGTGGGAGTGAAGGAATAGCAACATACTGCCAACAACAGAAGAGATGGAGTTTCACTGAGCTGTGAAAAGAGATGGCCAGCCCACAGGCAGGGAACCTGTGCTTCTTCACACACTGTGTGATTTCAGTACATATAAATTCCTTGGAACCACATCAGTGTATCTCGCCACAGACCAATGCTTAGATGACACCAGTTTTGGCGGCACTGTAAAACCGTGACACAAAACCAGTGTTTTCAGTATCCTTGCACTTCCTATGGTGCTCCTGGGCAATTTACACACAGCAATATTTTAAGAAAGAATAAATGGAAAATTATCTGGGACTAATTAGGGACTAACTGGGACTAATTTAGGACTAAAATTAACTGTGACTAGTTAATTTTCAGAAATAAGCATGTAGAACACAGATGTGACACAACCAGGACATTCAGAAGGAGTCACCTGAACTACTCAGCTGTTTCCTTGGTTTTTGTAGTCCTAGTAGGGGCAGTCTAATCCCCAGGAAATCTGTCCCTCTTGAAGGATGAACACATTAACCAGAAGCAACAGAATACCTATAGGAACAACTGAAACTGTGCTGCCTTATACCCAAGGTCAGATGGGATGATCATAATGACCCCCTTGACCTAGAAGCTTATGACTCAATGGTAGTTTGTCAAAGACAAATACATTGGCAAACAGATTCAGAAAAAGATAATTTTAACCAAAGTCATTTTAGACAAACATCAGTGAAAAACTCACACGGAAAGGATTCCCCTCTATAAGCAGATACATCAGATGAAGAGAGACATGTACTTACAGGAAACAGAAAGATTCTTTCAAGACTTAAAACTTGGGAAAAGCATCAGTTACAGACAGATTTCCTGCAGCTTTTTAAAATATGGTTTTTGCAACAGCTGTCTCCAGTCTTGTGGAAATATTCCAGAAGGGAATCCTGTCCCATGACAGGAGGACTGCTTTGATCACATTGATTATAAAAGCAGATACAAAAGGTCACAGTGACAGAAACTTTCTTTTCTGAATGTGGAACCTAACCTATTAACCAAGACTTCAGCTACTTACATGTATGAAATTGTTCCTACTCTCACCCAGAAGAGTCATACAACTTTGATGAAATGCAAATTTGCAGCAGTCACTACTCATAATAGTTTTCCTCTAGTGCATCAAGCACAGCTAGAAGGAAGATCAGACTTCCTTGGCGTTGCTAAGACAGCAGTAGATGTAGGTGGACACTCATAACTTGAAAATGTTTTGGTGGAAGTGAAAATATTTACCTTGATGTTTCTGAATTTCTTTGTACTTCCCCAATCCTGTCAGCAAACATTAATTACTAAAACATTTCATTTTGAATGATAAACATCCACCTCTACGCTCTTTTACTACACTTTTTCATGGGCTTTGTATGGAATTTTTGCTTATGCCAAAACCACTGACAACAAAATATATGCTTTTATGGAAGGTTCTCTGCTAGGATATTTTGATTCTCAGAAACCTAATATTCTTCACCTTTGTGGTCTATTACATACCTTAAGTTTTATATACTTCCATGCAGAATGAAACAAACCATGGTAAATGGAGATATCCAAGAGACTGAAGCAGAAAGTAAGTTATTTACTTTCAACTGACTTTACACAGACACAGCAGTTTGTGAATCCTGTCCAAAGAAGTTTCTGAGTTATGACCATGCTACATATTAAGTCAGAGGACGAGATGCCTGTAAGATCCTTTTATCATTGCTATAGCATATGGAAAACTAGAATGAATACCCATCCTTGGCTCCCCTACCTACATTACAGGTTTATTACTTCTTGCATTCCTATTTTGTGTGTGAGTTTTGGGACTATGTACAGCACGGACTAATATAGGATGAGGGAGACAAAGAATACTCTGCTATTGCTATTTCTACTTCACAAGCTGGGAGCAGCAAAAAGGGTCCATTTTTCAAAGCTGTTTGAAAGCTGGAGGCAACAACACTTAGGTGCTTCAAGTTTACATGCTTGCTTGGTTGCTATGTAAATTTCCTTAGGAAGCTAATTCCTGCACAAACAAACACTTATTTCATACTGAAGCCCAAAAATCTAAGCAAGAAAAGGGAGGTCTGCAGTTTTGCTACAGTTCAGCTTCACAGATTGGGGGTAGGAGAGGATGACATGCCCCTGTCATCCTGCCCGTCTTTCTTTCCACTTACCTTGGACTTTTGGGAATGATGTTTGAGCTCTGAGGCTGAGTGATGTTGGTGGGCAGCTAACCAAGTGGAAGGTTTTCTACACCAAAACCACTTGCCCCTGAGAAAGATGATTGTTCCCGATTCTTTCTTTTTTTGACCCAAGCAGGATGCCAATAGCCAGGAGACCCTGTGTTTCTCAGGGTAATCCTACTGACCATGTAATTCCTGATATCTTCTGTCTGCACAGATCCAGGCATCACACCAGAGCCTCTCCCAGTGATGAGCAGAATCTGGAAACCATGAGAGGGAGCAGGTCCCAAGACTGCCTGCTCCACAGTACCAGCTGATCCCTCCAATACCATCTTCTGCTCATTTTCTATTCCTCTTCAGAAGACAGCCATCTCCCCTGGGGCTGCTGATGCTCAGAACTGGAAAGTATTAGGGCAGCACACTGTCACTTTGTGGGTAGCCCTGGCTATGGTCAGCATTCCTACATGCTTGCCCCTTTGTGAATCTGCTGCTATGTCTCTTTTGGAAAAGGGGCTTGGATTCATAAGTCATTTAGGAGCTCTAACATGTTTCTCCCAAAGTAACTGGCCCAAGGTCACAGAGGAAATCTGTAGCAGAACTGGGAAATAAATCAAGATCTGAGTCCCAGTCCGGAACCTCAGGCACAAAACTACCATTTTTCATAGGAGGCTTAAATATGTGATGAGTTCTTTTATAATCATATAGTTTCCTTTCCAATGACTTAAAGTTTTCTTGTTACAGTCATTAAACTACTAGCTGTCCACTTTTAACAGTTCTCCAGGAATTCTTTCGTGTCAGTAGTGTTTGATAATAGGCCACATATGAGGTTCCAAATTTACTTTTTCCATTATTAACCTTTCATTTACTGATGATATTTTGCTTAGTACGTTTTGTTCTTATACCATCCTGCACCATATGTTTATAATCATCTGAAACTTCTGAGTAATCCCATTATTTTTCTGTTCTCTCACACAACATAAATGTGGGCTGTGTTCCAGGATAATTTATGCAGGATTAAAATATGGAATTGGCTTCAATGCTTCATCGATGATGTCTTTAGAGTTTATCTCCCAAATTTGTATCTTTCCCAGCTCTAAAATTCGAGGAGATGGAGAACACAAACACACGGTCATGCACAGTCACACACATATTGAATATCACAGTGAATGAAAGAAGAAGAGGGAAGAAAATAAAAAGGATTTATCAAGGAAAAATACCTCATTCAAAGCATATTGAAACTAAGAAGAAGACTTCCTTTTACTTCCCTGTGCCTCACACTAGCTTGCTATGTCTAACAGGGAAGCCTGAAATAATTATTATACTGATGAAGTGCAGGACTGTAGAAAAGTTTTTCCAAAGGGCAGGCAGAAGCAGTGAGTGTATGACAGAAGAAATAGAGAGTATGTGACAGGAGAAACAGTAACCGAGAAAAATCTGGAAGCCTAAAGAGAACAAGATTCAGCCTATAAACCCAATGTGTGAGGCCGCAGCTAACACCTCCCTGAGTTCACTGGTTTTAATTATCTTGTTTTCCTTTGTCCTGAAGGATAGAAAGCATTAAAAGTCCTCCCTTCAGAGAGTCCAGTGCCTGCTGCATCCAGTGAAGGACCTGGTCTGGTTGCATCCTTCTTCAAACTCAGTAGTGGGCCAAAGGGGTCACAAAGGCTGTGTGGCCAAAGTAATACAGGTGATGAGAGCACTGCAAGTGTAGATGGGGCCATGGGGTGCACCCAGGGACTCCAAACCCAAGCACAAACAAGTGGGTGTCAGTAGAGGGAGGAGCAATCTGAAAATAATGAGGACAAGAACCACCAGGAGCAGTGCTTGCTGGAGGCAGATTTTAGCAGCTGTCTCAGGACTTGGCAGTCAACTTTAACAACCATTCTACCAAACCTATTGAAACATCTACAGATATAGAGCTGAGGCTTCAGGCTGTGAGCCAAACATACATCATGAAGATGTATGTGTTCCTTTCAGCATGTGGCCTTTGTTCCAGTAGATGAGGTAGTCTTTTGGTAGGACAGAAGACATGAATGAAGTATGGAAGTCCTAGGTTCCTTCAAACAAGTGCAAGCTTCTGTTTATAAAGAGAAATTCAGAAGTTTGATAGAAACTAGCACTATTCTGACTTCTTTATGATTTTTCTGAACTGTCACAACCATCATTGTGATTTTTGATGGTGGGTGTTAGCTTGAAACAAAATAATATTAGGACAGCTTAGGTAAACACAACAATTATTTTTTAAAATTATGAAAACTAATTTCTTGTCCCATGCTAAAAGATGCAGATAACTTCCTCACAGAACACTAATACTATTCATAGGCTTTTGGATATGTGAGAAGAACTGACAACTGCAGTCAAGGATAGGTGAAGGAGCATGTTTGGAATGTGGAGAAAGAGTGGGATCCCTCTTTGGTGCAAATTGACTTACACGAACATTAAACTGTGCCAGTGACTTGGCTGGGTAGGAGCCTAAAACTGAGATCAGGATTAAAAAAAAAAGCAAGATTGGTACACAGACATAAGTGAAACAAGTGGAAAAGGCAAGAGTGTGGAGAATTGCAAAAAACTAGTCCTACTTAGCAGGTAGAAGAGACAGAAGAATCTTTGGCCGCAAGATCAAAACCTTCTCTGAAGCCCAAGCTGCACCTTAACAGTGGGACTCTGTGACTCCTCTCTTTTGAGACAGTTCCAGCAAGAGGAAAATGAGTTTGTAAACTGATTTCTAGAAAGGTCCTTCAGGAAAACATTTTGATCTTTGGAGTAGGCTGAAAGGTGTGACACAAATAGAAAAAGGAGGTACATACAGCTTGGGATAACTGGAATCAGCTTCAATACTGGTCCTAAATATCAACTGGGATTCATCCCAGATGAGAGACCTATAAATCTTCAGTTCATTTCATTTTTTTGAAATTAAAGAATATGTAGTATTGACTTCATTTGACAGTTGTAGATGTTGCTTTGCTTCACTTTGTAACTTCTGAGTTCAGGACACCAAAACCAAAAGCCTTTTAGCCCAGACTTTCTCTGTATATTTTTTGTGTCTGATAGGAAATAGTCTGTCCATACATTTATTACATTACTTATAGCCTTTCCAGTCCAGACTGAACACTCACAGCACAGTCCTGAAGACACCTTGCCCTGCACGTTGCCCTTCTGGGCAGTCAAACTGAGTGTTACCTGATGGGAAGGGATTGTGCCACAGGATTAGGATGAGAGGCAGTGACAGGGTGCTGGCAGGAAGTCCCGATAACAAAGGATTAATCAGGCAGTTCCAGAAGGATTTGTAATGGTCTGATGCACAGGGCTAGGGCTGCAGCAGCTCATTCCTCTATTTTTAATGAAAATGAGGTCTCAAGTCCACTGTGGGCAGAGGAGCAACATCTGTATTAGGAAATTATATGGGCCAAAGACCATTATTTGTCCCTGAGGTCACTGGGCATGGCATGACTCCCATTAGTACTGTGGGGCTTTCTTACCCCTCCAAAGCAGAAAAAGGGGTCATCCCTAAACTGTGCTACCTAAAGCATGACTGGGAATTATCTGGGAGGGTCTTTGGTGGCAGAAACAGTACCAGAGACCAAATTTAACTCTCTGGACGACTGCATAACAGTGACTGCCAATTAGTCTTATGTTCCCCTTGATGACTACATACTCTACCTTCCTTGATAAAATATTGACTGAATAACAACAACAACAATAACAAAAACTACACCAATAAACAACAATTAACTTAATAATTAGCTGGAGAATATCAGGATGGCATTGGAACATGAATTTAGATGAAGCAGGTAAGATGACATTGCCTGGACTATGCAGGTATTCTGATTTGGAGAATTAGCATGATTTGGAGCTGTTTACCACCTATTAAATCATTTTGTGGAGTGCTTTTCTTGAGTACAAGTTAGATTGCTTATAAAGGATATTAAACTGGACCCTTGTCTCCCTGAGTGTGTCACAAACTTCTTAACTCCTGCAAATAAAGGTCTAAAAAAATCTACGTTTTTCAGTCATTTCAAACCATTGGTATTAAATGCAAACTAAAATTATAGCAACAAGTAAAAGAAAAATAAATTTGTTTTTTTCTTAAAAAGCCCTCAAAGTGCAAACACGGGAAAATGGTGAATGCATACTGTGAGCACTATAAATTAAAAAAAAAAAAAAAGGAAAATGGGGCAAATACTGTGTTTCGAACTTATCAGTGACAGTGCAATGCAGACAGCTCCCACAGCCCTGAACATTACAGGATACAGCTGTTTGTGGCTGTGGGTTTTCTGCCTAATGACCCTTCAGGCATTTGAAAAGCTGAAAGCAATATTATTGCAGCAATAAAGTCTTACTTGGGTTGGAGGGATCTGAGGTGGGCACTGCTGTGGTCAGTGCCTTAGGAGAAGGAGCTGTGTTTTGAATCCTTGAGGACCTGTTTTTCCAGTCTGACAGCTTTCTGGAGGCCTGGGGATCCAGAGACAGACCCACTTCAGGATGCAGAATGGTGCCGAGGAAAGGAGAGAGTGGGAGGGAAGCTTCAGTGCATCGTTTTCCATAAGGGCTGCTTGTCTGTTCAGAATCACATTAATCTCCCTGTCCTTTCCTACCAACTCCTGGGTCATTGCAAGGTTTCTCAGTCAACTCCCTGCTCACAGAAAGGCAGTTTTCTGCCAGTTCCTGGGCTGCATTTTCACTTGTTTAGCTGTAGTTCTGAAAAGTTGTGAGCTCTCCAACCATTTCCCCACCCTCAGATTTTGCAAGACATTTTGATAAGAGAAATGTCTCTGAAAGCTGTTCATAGTTCAAAAAAGTAACCAAGGGTTTGTTTTTCCCGTTTCTATCACAAATAAACAATTCCCTCCTTAAAATGTCATCCTTATAATCTCTTGTCAATCCCAAGAAGACTGAAGGTAGCAAGTCCTTTCCAACCTGTGTTCATGTGCCTGGAATTCCTCTTGTAATAACAGTCTTTGCATTCCAGAGGTCTTTGCAGTGAGCAGCCAACAATTTTAAGTTGCTGGTTTTATGTTTTTCTTATTGGTTTTTGTCACAGCAGTTTGTTGGCAAGCATAGACATCAGCTTTATCTTTATGTGCAGGAAATGTTGAGGTAGGATGAGGGCAAGACTGTTTAACCAAACAAGGAAACAGGCACTAGTTGTTCTCAGCAGATAAGTTACTAATGGCACTGACATCCCCACAGCTATAACTCAGTTATAATACTGGAGGATTTGTCACTGATCCATGGGCTCAGGGAGCAGGGAAAATGATTGCTTAGGAGATCTAAGGGGAGAAGAGCAAGATATTTTCTGTTGTTAGTCACCTGTTTTGAGTGACTGGGAAAGTTTAGCCATTTATTCTGGAATACATGGGAGAGATACAGTGCAGTGTTAACTAAGCTTACATGTTAATTTTCTAGACTTTTCAGGAACAAGGTTTTTGATGAAATACATGAAGTCTGGAAATTACTGATTGCTCCATTTGCAGTTAATATGACTTGAATACACTGTTGCCTGATACCTGTGGTACCAGGAAAACACTTCCATGGTCTTTTACGAATAGGCCCCATAGCAGACTTTGAAAGCACCTCCAAGGTAACTTAAAGGCACTGTGGTGTATGACCAATGGAATTATTTCGAATGTTTTTCATAAACTCGTTTATTCATAGTCTCTGACATACTTGATGAAGGACACCATGGTAAAGTTGCAACTGTGTTGGGTTCAGACATGAGGGCAGAAGATCCTCCAGCACAAGGAACATGAAGGGCCAAAGTACCAGTTGTCTATCTGTGGGAGGAGAGTTGTTATAGCCACTGGGTGCAGCAGGGTAGTTATTGCACACCCCCAGCTGAGTGCACAAAAGAAGGGTGATGTGGGGACAGTTGTAAGCGGGATGACAGAGAAGGGACTGAAATAGACGAATGTATGGTATAACTAATGACAAAGTTTCAGATCCTGTAGTCAAGGAATTGCAAGTTTTCCCTGTGTACACATGGAGGCCATGGCTGGAGTGACTGGTCCCAGCCTTACTCCTGTCCTTCAAGATCTGTAATTGTTTTGCTGGGAAGCCATGGGGTTAAATCTGGCTTTCTGGACTAATTCCAGCAGAAATATCCGTGTTTCAACCTATCTGCAGCTAATATTTAACTGGGAATTTTACAGGTATTTGAATTTATAATCAAATGTTTACAAGTCACAGACATTACGTAATACTTATTGCACAGCAGTAAGTAATGAAGATAGCAGGAACAGACTGGGATAATCTAGGCAGGGTATTTGAAAGCCATAGTAATATAGTCTGTGAAGTCATACTTTGCCATAATCTTGCATGATGGCAACTACCACAGAGATTCTGATAACCATCTCTGTGCTGTTGCCAGGGTGTATTCTAGCCCCAAAGCTTCTTGTTGTTTGTTAGAGAAGGCCATGCCCTGGGAATCTTGGATAAAATTGGTCAATGGCATTCTTTACTGGGATTGTGGACTATACATCTGACCCTGCACTGCTTGAGCTCCAGTTGCTAGAGGAAAGTTACATAGCAACAGGAAGTATGTATGAAAAGTACATCTGTTGGCTCCAATATTACTTAGAAGAAAACCCTTCTATAATAAGGTTTTGTTTAGAATAGCAAGGAGGTGTTTTTTCTTCAGTAGTGTGAACTTCTATGAAGAATGACTTGATGCAGCAGTCCTGCCTATCCTACTTCGCCTAGCATGTGTTGGATGTCTTGCATACTTTTCCCCCAAGTCAGAGTGCTGCTCTCTGGTGTACAACAGGAGCATAGCAGAAAGACAGAGGGAAGAATATAGGTGTACACATCCATGTTTTACTTTTTTAACTTCTGGCCAGAGCACTTCACACTTTTCACAGCTGGAAAGGTATAGCCTTGGAAAGAATATGAATTTTCCTATTTATCTACAGTACAAGTTGAAGACTAATGATAGAGGAAAACAAGTACCCCTGGATGAGTCTCTTCTGGAAGGTTTTTGGGAATATCCTCTGCTAAGACAGCTCCAGACACCAATCTCTTGGAGACTATCTCAGAAGTTTGCCTCATAAGAATTTGAAGACATAGGGCATTCCTCATGGCAATGAAGATGGCAAAGTTCATTGCTTTATGGGGTATTCACACAATATTTTTACCAATGAAGGTAATAAAGTTGTTGTGAGTGTGTTAAATAACCCCTTATTTATGTACTGCATAGCATAAGGCTTTAACTATCATACAATTTATCTGTTAGCATACCTCTGTGGCTGCATAACTGTTATTATCCCAGTGTACAAATGGAAGACAGGTGAACCAATAGATGTCCTAGCTTGTTCAGCATCACAGAGGACTAGGAAATCCCAAAAAAAATCTTAAACCAGCTTTGTTCATCCTGAATTACATCTCAGTACCTATAAATACAACCACATACTTTTTTCAGCAGCTGACTCACCTTTGTGTTAAGAAAGTCCGTAATCTTCAAGTGCATCCCCAGGTGCTTCAACTTTGGTCCTCAGCTCTCAGCTGCCTCAGTTCTGGCAGCACTAAGCAACTCAGCGGTTAAATTATCTCTGTGCCCTGACAGAGGAAACAAATTAAACATCTTTCTGCTCAACCTGCTCTCAGCCCACACCTTATAGAATGGGCTCCAGGCAAAATGTGGTCATTCCCTGTCTTTTATCCAATGCCACCGTCATTTTAGTTCTCACAGACCATGTCGAAGCCCCTGAGAGAAGTACCCCAGCCACCAGGGCTTAGCTTGTTTTGTAGGTTATGTGAAGGACCTATGTGAGAGGGAGGATGGAAGGAGCACTATCTGTATTCAGACAGCGTACAGGCAAAACCAGCTATATGAGCTGAAGAATGAGCATGAGGGGATTCTCCTGGAAGGGCTATTTTTAGCTTCATCTGGATCATATTAATTATTCACTGGCATCCAAGACTCTCTCCCACTCAGTGATGCTACAGGGCCATGTTTGATCTTTCCAAAAGACCTACACAGAAGAAAGACTTGAGCAGTGATAGCCTTGATCCCCCAAAATTACTGTAACTCATGTGTTGTCAGCAGTGACAAATAAGGAGGAAATGGTATTTTTTCAGCTGTGAAAAAAAGGACTGCTCTAGATTCAGTGTTGAACTAAGCCCTCCCTTTGCAGCTCCAGAGCAGCATTTCAAAATGTGAATCCAAAATAGGAGGGATCCCTTGGTCCCAGAAGAGCAGGATTTTAGACACATGCTTCCCTGTTCACTCATCTTCTAATTAGCTGTATCAGTCAGGCTTTCTATTAAATGGCTTGGATTTGACAAATCATTCTGATCCTGTGCATCATTGTAACTGAACTGCCTTTTCAACTACTGCAATAGTGGTTTTCTGCAACCCCATCTTCTTTCACTAAGGAGGAATCTTTCCTATCTCTCTACAAACTCTTTTGCCACCATACTAGTCTGTATTAATTAAAAATTCTGGATGATCCTGGATGAAGCTTGACAGGAGGAACACAGAATGACTACAGAGTAAACCAGAGAGGAATCATCTTTTTCTAGTCAGATATTTCTTGTTTCCCCGTGACAAGGTAATGTGTAACTTACTTCCAGCGATTCAGGAGAAAAAAAGGAACAGAAAGAAAGCACAGAGTTGTCAAGTTGTGAAAGTTAATTTATTTTTTTAAACCAAAACCCATTGTTCCCTGGGCACTGGCAGGTTACACAGTTTACTACATTTCTGCTCTGATATCTGACAAAGTACAAATGGTTCAGGGCAGAGAAGGGTGTTCCACAGAATAAATATTTTCTGAGGTTGGACCTTTAGATGCTGCTGACAGACTGTGACTTGTACAACTCTCCCACAGGTTTCTAGAAGCCTGGATACTCTATACGTTTTGTAATATGCCACGTTTCCATAATACAAAGTGCTGAAAAATAACAATTATTGAAGGGATTTGTATTTACATAGGAGGGTATTAAGACTATGAGTGGAGCTTACAAAGAGTAGTAGATGAATTACTTTTCCAGTATCTGTAAAGCTGAGATATTTGGCACTTGCTAGGAATGAATATTCCATACTGAGCATTTAAAACTTTCCATAATTCTTACATGTATAAATTGAAATTTTGACACCTGCCCTGTAAAGTGCAAGTGTGAGGAAAGGACTCAGAGGCATAATCATCTTCCATCTACTTTTTGAACATTCATATGACTTTTCCAAATATTTTCTCTTCCAATTTTATACATTGTTATACCAGGTGGCAAACTGCAATGGAATAAACTGTATAGTACCTTGTCGGGTAATGGGAAAGCATGCAACAGCTAGCGATATATCCAATAAACTCTACACTTATCACCTCCTGCTTTTGAGTGAATTGTTTACTACACTATTGGGGCTGGGTCTGTGTTTTCTGTCTCCAGTCTTCATGGGCTCTGTCTTCACTGTGCACACCAATTTGCAGCATTCCCTCACGCCAAGACACTTGTGCCTCGTTTTATCACGGGTGACAGTGACTTATTCAAAGAAAAATTTCTGCCTACATCTTGTGGTTGGTTTGGCAACTGTCTCGTTTCCAAACTTGCCATATCCTCCAAGAAAGAAGAATTAGGTTTAAGAGGCTGTGCAGCTGTTTGGCATCTGATATTCAGAGCTTATTATTATTAGTGATTTGTGATCTCTAACCAGTCAGATTGCTCATTTCTCTAAACATTTTTTACTTTATTTTTTTCACAGGGAATGTAAAACTTTCCTCTTTTAAAGTCCAGTGAAGGAAGGTGAAGACATTTATTTTTCAAACG